TGGCTGGAGGATAGTGTTATTAAGTTATGAGATACAGGACAAGGTTAGTGTAGAGAAATATGAATGGCATCTTGAACATGTTGGGTCTGCAATGCTTCTGAGACATTTAAGTGAAGGTGTCAAGCAGGCAGCTGGCTATCCAAAGGTAACTCAGAGAAGACATGTGGCGTGGATCTAAGTAAAGGAATTAGGACAATACAAATGGCCCTTGAAGCCATGGGCATGGATGACTTGTCGAAAGGCAGAGCACAGAACAAGAAGAGAAGAGGGACACTGAGCTTTTAGAAGCATTAACATTTATTAATTGCTTGGTAGAGCATGGCGAGGTAGTAAAGGAGGTTGAGATAAAATGTTTAGAGAAACACAGGAATACCTCATAGATATTGTGGGTTTGATTCCAAACTATCTCAGTAAAGTAAATATCACAATAAAGCAAGTCACACTAATTTTTTGGTTTCCCTGTGCATATCAAAGTTATGTTTACACTATACTATAGTCTATTAAGTGTGCAATAGCATTATGTCAAAAAAAAGTACATACCTTAATTTAAAAATACCTTATTGCTAAAAAATGCTATCATCTAAGCCTTTAGCAAGTTGTAATCTTTTTGCAATAGTTACATCAAAGATCACTGATCACAGATCACCATAACAAATATAATAATTATGAAAAAGTTTGAAATATTGTGCAAATTATAAAAATGTGACACAGAGACATGAAGTGAGCAAATGCTGTTGGAAAAATGGCATTGATTCACAGGGCTACCACAAAAACTTCGATTTGTTGAAAAAAAAACACAATATCTGCAGAGCACAATGAAGCAAAGAACAATTAAACAAGGTATGCCTGTAAAAGAAAATTCAGGAGTGTGTTGGGGTGGCGTGGGGAGTGGTTCAAAAGACAATGAGAGAGAAGACTTTTAAAGACATGAATAGCCAGTGGCACCACATGAAAGGTCAATTATTCATAGGGACTGATATGTCAACAAGAATTTATCAGCAAGGTCATTAGTGACCTTGAGGAGAGCTGTTTCCATGAACTAATGGCAGGAACAAGGAAATGAAGATGGCAAGTGTCATCAGTTCTTTGAAGAACTTTGGCCGTGACGGCAAGATAGGGT